TTAGACTTACCAACAGTGGAAAATGCGACACTTTTTCGTGTCCCCCACTCTCTTCCCTCATGCCAAACGTGGCCTTAAGGTTAAATGAGATTCGAAAGCATATGGTTCAAATTAAGTTGTCGTACTAAATTACATAATAAGTCATCCATAATAAATAGACATCAAACTCGTTGTCCAAGTGAGTAGGACTTAAAATTCTCATTTGTAAGCAGAGATGGATATTATTAAACAACAATGCAAGTAACATCTATTTGGCAAGATTGAAATAGGGGTTGGAAAATTACAAAGAACTTGGGTCTTTAATTTTTCTGCTAGCTACTTGGTCTTCAAACACAATGATGTGAACCTTACATGGTTGAATAACTAAAACTAAAATACACATGAATGAAGACTAATTAACATGATGCAGAAGTTGGGGGCATCCATTGAAATCGATGCAAACAGAAGGAGTTGATGAACACCAATGAATCTTCTGTAGAACTCCTATTTGTATACAACTACTCAGTAGGAAGTAATATATTGTGTATCTAGGCTTTTGCAGGGACCGAAGGTTTATAGAGGTTATAATACTCTAGGCCCAGCTCAATAGCCTACAAGTCAGAAATTATATCTTTTTAGTCAAAATGATGTCTGAGATTTGTATAACATATCACTTTGATCTTTGATATTGAAAATAAATAAAAATGGTCCCTGAGATTATCCACCATTCATTATTTTGGTCATTCCATTAAAAACTTTGTTAAGTGTCCCGGAGCTCTTGGTCGAAAGTTTGATCAATTTTCAAAGTTTCGTAATTCAATTGTTTATTAACCAAATTCGACCCATAATATATCAAAATAAAGATAGGAAAGTATAGAACAAAATTATACATATTTAGAAGGCCAATGGTTGCCGGAGATGGCCAGGAAATAGCCTGAAAGGTGACTGGTCCGCAGGAAAACTGGAAAACTCGCCGGAAACTGGGTAAACTTTAATGAAAAACCACATTTTTACACTAAAAAGTCAATCATGGTACTATTCACTTTACCCTTTATTTTGTCATTATCATTCAAACTCAAAGTTTTCAAGCCATTTTTATTAGTTTTCCTTTAAATTAATACCCACATCCATTCTATGTTCATTTTGGTTATTTAACATAGTTAGAGTTGTTTTAAATAAAAATTTACCAACCATTATAACATTGGTTTTTTTTTTTTTTTTTTTTTTACTAAAAACACTTTTATAACTATAATTTATCAAAATACTTCATTGCTTTCTTTCACAACTACTTATTCTCATAACACAATAAAAACAATTTCTTCAAAGCATAACAATACCAAACTATTCCTAAGAATCATTAGGAAATATAGATCGTACTGTGTAACTGATTTTCACATCATATAAAATAGAGATATAGATAAAACAACATGTTACACCCAAGATTTTTCCTCTTAAAAAAATGTTTACTTCATTGTCATTGTCTCATTGTCAAAACGAAGGCATAGGGTAAACTTATGCAACATTGACTTATTTCTTTGTACCTTTCTTTCATAAACAAATCAATTGAATAGACTATCTCTACCCCTAACAAATTCTTGAGAAGCGGATCCCAATTCCATAATTTTGAATTTTAAATAACTAAATAATTTGGTTTTATTAATAATTAACTAGCAGATGAGCACACACTCTGTGTGTATGAACAATCGCTCATCTCCTTTCACGTTCTCCTTAAGCGCAACCGTTTTAGTTCATTCAAACTATCCAAAAACATCATGATTTCACTTACGTGTATAAAAAAATGATGGTGGGATAACTTCTCTTAATAAGTACATATTTTTTATCTTATGTAAATATTTTGATATAAAATTAAGAAAAAAGGGAAAGTTTAAAAGATATAAAATTACTATTTTACCCTTCTCATGTCAAATTGAAAGAATTGGAAGAAAATGAGGCAAAAAAATTGACAAACCATCTTTTCTTAATAGAATAAGAATATAAATATAATAGATTTGTTATTTTCTCAGCTTTACTGAAAGGCCCACTATCCACTGTCAGTGCATCTCTCTTTAGGTCCCAACTTTCTCTTTTTTTTTTTTTTGGACAAAGTAAGTCCCAACTTTCTAAAACTAGGTTTTGTGCCCTTTGTCTTACCAATAGTAGACAGCACCCAAGGAGAAACATAAATATAAAGGGTGCATAGATAAATAAGAACAGAATAATTCTTTTTCTTGTAAAAAGACTCAACCTTTAGACTTTAACCCTAATGCTTTAACTAATACTATTAATTAAAGCAAAGCTAAGAGACACCTAAGATCAAATTAATAGTGAATTAGTGATGGTCTTCCATTGTGGTATTTGGTAACCACAGATTTGAATGTTTGTTTGCCCATTATCTAAACAGTCCCTCTCACTGCATTTATAAGTGTTTCCTCTATATTTATAAAGAAAAACCTACAAAGAAATGTGACATTTACTCATAACAATCATTGAAACAACAAACGGATTTGTGTCTCAATTCATTATAAGTGTTTTTCTTTTCACTTGAGGTTTTGTGTTCAAATATCCCCCTCCCTTCCCCTGAGAGTCGAACTTGAGACATTCTATAACATTGAGAGATAAATATCACTACATAAAGAGTTAGTTAGAAAGCATTTACTTAAGTATTATATTCGACTTACATAAACATAAATATTATATATATTTACGAAGAATTTGATTTTTACTATTGACATAACTTTTGCGCAAGTCCTTTGTTCAATTGTAATACTATTATGTAAAGAATTTCCTTCCAGTTGATCAAAACGCAAACATTATTTGGTTGAAATTAAATAAAACAAACAAAGAAAACTGGTGGGAGAGGGCTATGTTGCTAATAAAAATACTTAATTAAGAAAAACAAATTTTTACCCCAAAAAAAAAAAAAAGGCAAATGTGACATCCCAAGAACTAGCACTATTACCAGCGTAATTTTTCTGTATACACAACTAAAATCCCTTTTTTCCTCATTGTCCAAGCTAAAAGGTCCGACAAGCCAAAGTTTAACATTATCATTAACCATCATACCAAGACCAAAAAGTTGAAAATACCATCATACTTGCTAGCAACTTGTATCATTTCCATCCTTTTCATCATATTATACCACCACACTTGTTTTAATTATCTTCATTAATTCTTTTTTTTTTTCTTCTAAACCTTATCGTACGGTACCACACAAATGAGCATGAAAGCAAAACATAATCTTTGTAATTAGAGAAACACAAAGAACCCAACAAAATTTTATATTTTTTATTCTCCATCTCAACCCTACTTTATTGCAAAAATATTAACATATTTTTCACGGAAGAACCAAACTAGATATTAACATATTTTTCACGGAAGAACCAAACTATTTTACACTAGACAATTTTATAGACCATTTATATCAATTTTAATTGTCAGATACCAAAGTGAGGAGTTATGCTAAATTTAACGATCATTTTAATTAGAAAAACCTATTTTTATTAAAATATTATAAAAGTAAGATATATTAACTTTGTACTCTATCAATTTTATAGCATATATTAATACATTAAGTCTTGTCACTTATTACTACAGTTTAGTGATATTCTTATTTACTTATAAGTGAAAGGTCTTAAGTTCAATTCTCATCAAATACGAATTTAAACCATATTATTGTTGAATCCCACATCGTTCGTAGTAAAAGATAAGTAATAGTTTAAATATCCTAATCTCACTCTAACTAATACCGAGGCTTTTTGTGATAAAATTCCACACCTGAAGGATTGTGCATGTGGTAATTACCAAGTTGAGGACAATATCGGTGTTGTTGGAAGTGGGCCGTATGACCCGTCTCTTTGATATTTCTACATGGTATTAGAGCCAAGGATCGGGCCCGCATTGTATTGCCACGTGATGGGTGGGTCCCCCTGGCCTCGTGCGATGATGGTGGGTCCCTTGGCCCCGTGTGTAGGTTGAGTTCCCTTGGCTCCACATGGTTACCGATGTGTGGATCTCCCATGTATGACCCACTCATTGGGTCCCATGTGAGGGGGCGTGTTGAATCCTACATTGGCCATAGTAAAAGATAAGTAAAAGTACCTCACTCTAACTAACACTGAGGTATTTTGTGATAAAACCCCACATTTGATGGATTTTGCAGTTGGTAATTACCAAGTTGGGGACAATATCGGTGTTATTGGAAGTGGGCCATATGGCCCGTCTCTCTGATATTTCTACAATTATTATTAGCATATTGTGAGGCTAAATTCCCTCAACTTTTTTTTAGTGTAGATAATATCGTTTGTTTCAAAGGTTTCAGTGCACAAAAAATTCTTTCAAACACAGATGAAAAAAACAAAGGGAAGTGTTATTGACACTCCAAAAATATCATTCTACACTTCTCACAAGTATATTTTTCTTTCGGGAGATTATATTTACACATCCCAAATTAATTCTCCCACACCCTTTTAATTTTTTAATATTTTTCTATTAAGTGTTAGTGGTGTGTAGAAAATATTAAAAAAATTAAAAGAGTGTGGGAGAAGTAATTTGGGATGTATGAATATAATTAGTCTTTTCTTTCTAAATATAGAAAGTTTAGAGTGTAAAATGAGAAATTTGGAGTGCCAATAACAATTCTCAAAAGAAAAAAAAAAAAAAGTCATAATCAATTGGCCTAATGGAAAGGGATCTTCTCTGTATCTCTTCCACCTAAACCTCATGACCCATAAATCCAGGCCCTTGAAATTTGATCTAATAGATACAAATAGAGAGCCCTATTAAAAGTTATAATAACTTTAACCGTTAAATCAAATTTCAAAGATTCAAATTTATGGGTCACAAGAATTAGATGGAAGAGATCCGGATAAGATCTCTTTCCTGACCTAATAACCAATTTTGTTTGTTTTAGTAACAACAGCAAGACCCAACACAGAGAAACAGATCCTTGAAAGATACGAATCATGTCTATTAAAAAATGAGAGTGGGTGGTGACTGGTGATAGTGCAAGGCGCACCAGCAGACACATGGGCCCCATCATCATCACTCTCTCCACCACCTACGCCTTCCCTCCCTCCTCCTCCCCCACCATCCCCTTTCCTCTGCTTTTGCCTTCCCCTGCTCCTCCTCAGTCCTCCCTCCCTTTGGTCCTTTCTATTCTATTTGACACTCATAAGTCATAACAAACAAACAAAATCCCACATCCGCTCTCTCTCTCTCTCTCTCTGAAACCCACAATTTCTTCAACCCTCTCTCTCTTGATCAGCTTGATGGAAGCCACACTTGGGTTGCTTGGTGGTGGAGGTGGGTCTTCTGGTGTCTCATCGAACGAGTCTACAATGTCAAAGGCGGAGGTGGTGGCGGTGGAGCAAGACTACGTGGGGATGTCCTCTGAGGCAACCTCTTACCCTGCTGAGGCAGAGCTTGAGCTGGGCCTCAGCCTTGGTGGCGGAGGGAAGCTCAGCAACCCATGTGCATGGGGTGAGCGTGGTAGAATCTTGACTGCCAAGGACCTTCCTTCCATGGTGGTCTCTAACGGCGCCTCTTCAGCTGCTTCTAGGTTCTCTCACAGACCCCATGCTTCTGCTGCTGTTGCTGTTTCTGGGACTAAGAGAGCTGCTGACTCTGCTCCCCAAGAGGGTGGCTCTCCCACTGCTGTTAGGTGAGAGAATATTCATAAAGTTGATGTCCTATCTTGTATTTGGTTGCTGAGAAAACTGATGGAAAGTTAGAAATTCAATTATGCACGGTTTGTGTCCAGTCCAGGAAAACAGTAAAGTTTAGAAAACCCCAATTAGTGGTTTATGTTATGCTCCCTTAAGAAAAGATTAAATAATTGTTCAAGTATTTTCGGTTTCTTTTTATTTAATTTTTTTTCTTGTTTAATGATTAATTGTTTTTAGTCTGATATATGTTTTGAATCTTTGATAATTCAAAAAAAATTTCCTCTACAAGTTCTGTCTTTTTAATATTTCATACAGTTAATTTTTTTATATAAAGTCCTAAATATGTATTTAAATTTATTATTTTATGTTTATAATATTCATTACATTGTAATACTAATTAATACCATGTTGAATACTTGAATGTATTGTTACTCTGAGAAATAATACGAATACTCTGTTTCTGTATTTTTGGAATTCCTGCATGTTTTGGATCGTTGATTTTGGTATATTGTATTATGAAAGCAGTCAGGTTGTGGGATGGCCACCGATAAGTGCTGCGAGGATGAACAGCTTGGTTAACCAAGCAAAGACTGCAAGGGCTGAAGATGATACGGCAGTTGGGGAGAAATCGAAGGACACTTCGAAGAAGAAGATCAACGTCGGTAGTAAGACAACTGTGAAAGAGAAAGGGCATCTCGGATTTGTGAAGGTGAACATGGATGGAATTCCAATCGGGAGGAAAGTGGATTTGAATGCTCACTCTTGCTATGAGACTTTGGCTCAAACACTCGAGGAAATGTTTATCAGCCCCACTACAACTATTGGTTTGTTGTCTTCCTTTGCCTTTGGAAAAATTGGATAGAGGACCTTATTTGTTGCTCAATTAATTACTTTATAAGCTTATGAGTTCCCATTAGGATGTATGGTTGGTACTCAATCACGGCCCGTTTGACTTCGCCAATTTTTCCCCGTGTGTGCCAATAATTTTGTGCTCATGTTTAGGTGGAGACACGGAACAAGCAAAGAAGCCCTCGAAGCTTCTGGACGGATCCTCTGAATTTGTGCTCACATATGAAGATAAAGAGGGAGATTGGATGCTTGTCGGAGATGTTCCTTGGGGGTATGATGCTACTACCACTAATATTAGTTTTGTTAAAAAGAAGAGCATGGAAAACCTAATAACATAAAGATATAGGGATTATGATTGTCTGTGGAGCAATGTACTTCATATATAATTGATATTGCCTGAGATGTTATTAATAAGTATGTTTGCAATTTTTGTGGCATTTCAGGATGTTCCTCGGCTCAGTGAAAAGGCTTCGGATCATGAGGACATCTGAGGCTAATGGTCTTGGTACGTAAATTTGAAACCATCAAGCTTACATTTTGCCCTCCGAGTTTCAGTTGTCGGTGTTTTGCACTCCTATGAGATTATGAAGATCTCTGTCTAAGGCCGATTAATCATATTTATTTGCAGCTCCAAGATTTCAAGAAAGGAGCGAGAGACAAAGAAACAAACCTATCTAGAAAAGGCACTGCTGCGCATTATTTCCAAGTCTGGTAAGATGAATGAAGGAAACCTACAGTTTGATAACAGAAAGAAGTAGAAATTCAATGAGACAAAGAGTGCGAAGATCGGCTTCCACAGGCTGTTACATAGTGCTAGCATACAGGCCTGCATACTCGGCTACATGCTGCTGCTGCCTTCTCGTACTGTAAATATGGGAGCATTTCACTTCATATCTAGAGAGGAGAGTGCTGAGTTTTGCTGCAAAAGAAGCTTGTCTGGTTTTATTATTTTTTAATTATTTATTTCGGTTGTTTTGGTTAATCAGCACTTTTTTTACTTTCTTTTTATTTACTGTGCTTTTGCCCCTAGTTTTAACTTGAATTTTGAATCATGGTAAAAGGAACTGGATCCCTTCTGATCATTTGGAACTGAGCTACTCATCAAATGATCCGGCTTATTGAAATTTGATCCAACGGTTACACACAAGGAGTCTCTCTAAAAGTTATAATAATTGTAGTCGTTGGATCAAATTTTAATAGTCCGGATCATTTGAAAGTAGACTCAGTTTCAAATGATCCGGAGTGGATCCGGCTCCATGTTAAAAAAAACTCAATTACCTGCTCTACAACTGCAAACCGGTGCAAATGACAACGGAGGAGGGGACCCCAATCTTCAGATTGTCATAATTATTTCTGTTGTCTTGGGGTCAATGCTGTCATAATCCTAACTGGTCTGGCCCTTGTAGTAAAGCTGTAGTAGTTGTACAAACTCTCTGATTTGGTCTCTTGACCTGTGTTTGGAGGGACAAGGTGCCCTTTCCACAAGTCCCTTGTTTGGAGGGAAACTTCCTGACTCAGGGCAATCTGTTGCTTGGGACACAATTCATTTCCCTAGGGAAAGACTTCTCAAAGATGGTATAAAATATTGATGATATCGGAATATCGGTAGTTCAAAAACATGGAAATATCGGGATATTATCGATATCGATAAAAATTGTATAAAAACCACGAAAATTGTAAGAAAAACTTTGAAATTTTTATGAAAACTTTGGAGAATGTTTATTTAGTCAATTATCTATAAGTTTATCAAAAACAATTAGAAGGAAATGCATTACATGATGGATTTAACTGATTTAAGTTGATTGTACAACGAGCTGGCAAACACTGTGAGTGTAGAAAATATGTAATAATTAATGAAAAAAAGATTAAACACACCATAATCATTTATATATAATGATTTACTACAATATTTTACACTTTATACATTGCATGGTAAGATACATGAGTGATTTAGTACCACATAAAGTTCCTATGAGGTTCAAAATTTTCACTATCTTCATCATCTCTATGTGTAGAGTAAGTTTATTGTCAAGAGTATTCATCAAATGATAAATCCCCAAAATAGTTTTGCATGTAATTGTTAACATGCCACTCATATAAATATAAATATTTTAGCATATTATCACTAAAACATAAGTGATATATGGTGGTTACGATGTTGGAGGAGTAAAATGGGAGGGGTTCAAATCCCTTTTGTTTGTGTTTTTTTTCCTCCCTTTTTCCCTTTTTTTTTTCTTTTTTTTCCTTCCTTTACATCGATATTTTCGATATTTTAGCGATATTACACCGATATTTTGACAAAATATTACTGAAGTGTGAGCGAAATTATCGACATCGATATTTTCCGATATTATCGTTGATATTGTCGATATTTGTACGATATGTACATAGATATGTTCCGAAATATCCGTGATTCGAAAAAACCGAAATATCCTCGATATTTCGTCGATATTATCGATATTTCAGACTATGAAGATACCATATCGTCCTACGTCAATAATGTGTCATGTAAAACAGTTGTGTCTTTGTTTCTATTGGATTCTATCTCATTGTATCACATTTTGTTTTGTGATATTTGAGAATCACCGTCAATACCTTGGTGTAGGTCCGGGATAATTCTTTGTTCCACACTCTAGGGTTATTTACAACTATCCAATTAAGAATACTCAGATGTACTAGCAAGTGCATCAAAGATGCAGTCATCGATTTGCCCGAGAGGCCACAATTACCGCGAGCAAACATATTAATGACGAGGACGGCATTTTTGCTATGTTACTAATACTTGTACTTGCTCTGCTATTCTGCCCCATCCTAGCTGAGGAATAATTATGGGGTGTAAAACAAAAAAATATGCTGATTGGGGCCGGGCATGCTATACTTAATTAACTCCCCATTAACAATAAATAATAAATAAATAAATAAAAAGAAAAAGTAAGGCCATTCCATTAACAAAAGACCCACGCCCGAATTCCATAGCTTTGGGTCCGTTATCCCGATCATGATTTTCCTAACCCCAAAGGGAAAGGTCCTTCCCTTTTTGGCCAGTTGTGGGCGAGGAGGGATTCGAACCCCTGACACCGTGGTTCGTAGCCACGTGCTATAATTCTCTGAGCTACAGGCCCCACCCTGTCTCCACTGGATCTGTTCGCAGGAGTACCCTAAAAAAAGGGAGAGGAAAAAGACATGGCTTCACATTATTAGTGCGGAATGACACAATCACTTTACGGGGGTTTTGACCACATTCAATTTACTCAAGTCGTTACAAACTTGAACGTAATCAAGTTGATTAGAGTAGTGTCTTCCTCCTTTTTGCACTCAAGTTCAAAACCCCCTCACATGGTTCAGACTCTTGAGATTTCAAAGAATTTGCTCAAGGATTTTGCTTAGTTGTATGCAAGAAATTCCTAAAATAAAATCATGATTTTAAATCAGAATTGTCCGGCGAAGTTCACCTACACACCCCTTTATTTCATCGTTTCGTAAATACATTCTAACATGCTGTAACGATTACACATACAACACGTACGGCAGCTACCCGACATATACAAGACAAAACCTTGCAGGATGGATGTTACACCCAATATTCCGTAATCTCTGCTATCTAATAACATTTAGTTGCAAAATCTAAAGATGTCATACACTGATCAGATTGTAATGATAGAACTGCCTACTGCAAAAAATCTCTCGGGTCGGTGACGTAACCAGTCAAAGCTGACGCAGCAGCCGTATAGGGGGAAGCGAGATATATCTGGCCTTCCTTGTGACCCATTCGGCCTGGGAAGTTCCTGTTTATTGTTGAGACGCATACCTGCAAAGACAAGATGGTTAAAAATCTACCAGTATTTATTTTCAATACAATTGAAATTAAAACCAAGATGTTCTCCTCGCAACAAGGTTATCTGCAAATGGGGTTATGAAACCCCCAAAGGCAGGGAAGTCAGCCCTAATTCTATCAAAGACAACGATATAGTGAAATGCAACAATGCATGAGGTCCAGCTGCCCCAAGACATGAGAGCACATTAGATCCTTGTGGATGTATTGCAGAAAAGGATGTACTTGGCTGAGGTTCATTTAAGCGAGCATACGTGTCTTTCGGACCACCCAGGCAAGCACCGCAACTGGGACTTGCAGGTGTGTCGCATCCAGCTTCCTCAAATATCTGAGAGCAAGTCTTGCCACCAGACCCTGGTACTGGGAGACCATACACGTCCATCTAAACCTACAAATTTAAAAATATTCAAAAAACAAGATTTCATGTGGATCGTGTCTTTGAGAATTTAGGCTGCTTATAGAATTCTTGAATTAAGGGCATTACTGAAGCATTGACATTTCCTGTTTATATTTTCTTTCCATATTCTTACAAATTAAAGGTGGATGAATGGTCAACACTTAAGAGCACTTCCATCTGAGTAGTTGACAAAGCTTATTGATGAGCAATGGAAAAGCACAGGCGTCCTCACGGAAGCAGAGGGCTCATTTATTGAAGTAAGACTCATTTATTCCACATTTTCAATTTTCAGTTAATTTTTTGTTTCTAAGTTCTTAATTCTTCAATATTGCTGTAGATGACACCTCTCTTTCAAACAAGATTGTTTGTGGTTTACAATCTTTTAGAAAAGGTCTGCTGTATTTGGTTATAGAGGTTCTTTTCTATTTATTTTTTATTTCGTGGATTGTAAACACTAGAAAGCTAAGCCTCTGACTACCCTGAGCCACGTTTTTAGAAGGTAAAAAGAGAGGGATACTTTATGTTCTATTTCTTTTGTGTGTTCTTTTAAAATTTAAGGTTGTGTGAATAGCATGTCAATAATCATGCGGAATCAGGAAGCATTGCTCATCTAATTGTGGAATTTAGAATCTAATCTTGAGGTTGTAATTATGACACTTAAAGTGAAACAAATATGGTCCAACATTGATCCAAAACATGACTTGCTGGTTTACCACTTTTGTAATTTGGATAATCTTGCGAAGAATTTCTTTGAGATTTTTATAGTGGTTTCTTTTTTTGGTGGGTAAGAGAATGGAAGAGTATTTTCTGTGTTACCAACAGTTCAAAATAGTAACTAATACTCATCCATATATTCGCCAGTGAAATACTTTCCATTTTTAACTTATCCTTGGGTAGGAAATTTTGATGAATTTATGCTTTTTTCCTCCACTTCTCAGTGTTTTCAGGCGATTGGAGCTGAATATGGAGAAGGTTTTGAGAGTTTTGGACATGTTGGACCTCTCAGGGTTCATGTGGTGTAATTTATGGAGTTATATGTATAGTAGTCATTGTTTTTTATGCTCTGTCGAAATTCATTTACTGATTATGCTATATGACTTACTACTGTTAATTTTTACTGTGGGTAGGATTTTTTGGATGACAAACTGCAATAAGATTTTCTTAAACGAATACGATATGTCGTGAAACTGGATGAAGCTTATGGTCTTATATTCTCTTTTGACAATGTTGTGGTAAGTTTTTATAACACTCATTAGTTATGTGTTTCAGGTTCAGATGGCTAGAAATGAAAATGTAATGAACTGTGAAACATTGTATTTATGACATCTTACTAATCAAGAAAAAGATTTAAACGTGCAATTATTAAAAGAGATCTAATTGTATAACAGTTACTTTTTTCGGCAAGGGTTTTTGATTTTTCCGACAACTCTATTTTTTTTTTTTTTTTTTTGAGTTGCATGTGATAATTTATTTTCAATGTGATCCCGTATCTGTTTAATTAATTATATTCTTAAATCATGTAGGAAGACTAGCAAGTAGCAATGATGCTGTTTTCTAAATAGTTACTCTTCTTATCGTAGACCAAACCATTGAGATAATAACACTGCATGTAACATTCTTTCGAAGCAATCCATATGTCGATATTGGTAAGTATCGTTTCTCTATTTGTCCCTTATGATATATTTGTTCACAATGTGGTATTTTGACCAACATTTTGATATTATAAAGGAATTAGCTTCATTTTTCACAACTTGATATTTCCAATTTGGTGGATGTACTTTATTAAGACATTTGAACACGGTTGACCATCTATGCACAAATTCAAATTATAGTTTCTGTTTTGGGATTTCTTTAGTCATGTTAGAAGTTAAATTGCAAAGACAGATGATCAACTGTATTTAATATTTTGTTTGTTTTCTTTGGTTTAGGTTTGAACTAAAAGAAACTAAGAAAGGAATGATGCACAGTCACAGTGATATAGAACGCTTACATTGCAGCTTCAGCTATACAATTTTTGCCACCCCAAGTGATCGATAGGTATATAACTTTCTGTTTACACCCTACCAAAGAGTGTTTTCTCCTATTTTTCATCCAGCTTTTATCTAATATACATTTGTCATTTTTCGATCTTTGTTATACATTTAAGGTAGTGAGACAAAACTAATCAAAGAGGCAAACGCACAAAAGTGAATGAGGTGCTATAAAATTGCTGAAAAAGGTAACCATACTATATTCTTATTTTCTTTATGGTATAATTCCATTGTCATATAAATTCATGTGTTACAATATTTTCTTTCCTTGCCTAGGGTGCTTTCTTAACAATCAATAGTACTGGAGAAAAACTTTGAGCGTTGCAGTAAACAACATTTGTCGTATTTTGTCATTCTAGAAACTTCTACAATTTTTGGTGTCTGTTGCATATAGATTAAATCTTTCATATGTAAATAGTATAAATCTTTCATGGCATAGACTTTACATCTTTGAAACATAATCTTTCTTACAATTTTTAATCCAAAAGCAACGCGCGGGTAGAGCTTTCTAGTATATATCTATACGTATAATACCACGTATCCCTAGGTTCTTCGAATTCATGCTTTTTGTGTTGATTATTTTTCAGTTGTATTGTTTTTCTGTTTGATAGCTGAAAAACTGATACATTTGAAGCAATGAAAAGAGAAAACCTAATATACATGCAATAGATTAGCTAATATGCATGTTTTTTTAACCAGCCGAGAGGAACTTTGGATATTTTACTCCAAATAATTGAAAGGGGATTGAATAAATTTGATGGGTTTTTATTATTTCTTAAATATATGTGGTCTGTGAGAATTCAAGAATTGTTGTTTTTTTTATTAGAAGTGTATTTGGGTTTAGTTCTTAATCTGTGTTCAGTTCTCCATTGTCATTGTTAGGTTAATTAAGGATCAAAATTCTAGTTTTTGATCACTAGTCCATTTTTCCTTTCGCTAGAAAAAAAGAGGGCAGTTTCAAAGGTTTCGTGGACTGGAACTTTGCTCTAAAATCTCTTAATTATATAATCCTTTATGGTTGGGAAAATCCTTGAATTGATGCCTTTCTTTATTGTATGATTTCAACCATAACGAGATTTCTTCAACATTATATTGTTGTGCTTTGGCCACTATCTCACCAACTTATAAACCCACAGTTGAACAATTTAAAATACAAGAAATAAAGACACCAAGAGAATTACGAGGTTCGGCAAAAACCTGCCTACGTCCTCCGAGAGATATTGCTCTTCACTATGAGAATAACTAGTACAAGATACACTTGAGTTAAATCGACATAACCCAAACCCCAATCCCTTGTACCCTCACAGAATTTTACTAAGAGACTCACTCTCTCCAAGAGTTTCTCACTCTCACTCTATATTTTTCTACCACTTGTGTTCTCCTCTGGATGTTCCCACACTTCTCTTCCCCTCTCACTCGGCAAGCCCTACTTAACATGCAACCCCTTTCTTTCTTTACATTAAATTACAAAGAAAGCAAGCACACTTGCATAAAGAAAACCAAAGTTTACGGGGTCATGTTTCCAAAGTCCAAAAGCAAGCCTACTCTTGCTTTGTCCTTTGTAGCAACTTTAAATGATGACTACAAACACAATCATGATTGTCTTCCACAAAACATGCTCCTTGCTTTGACTTTTAATCAAGCCCCAAAGCCACTCACGGGTTACCTTATTGTTGCTAGCTCAAAATATGAGCCAATCACAACATATATAATCCTTTATGGTTGGGAAAATTCTTGTTTCTCTTGCTTGAGGAAACTGATTCTCTTTTTGTATGTATCAACTTTTGGAGATTCTTTCCGACTGTTGTTGATGTGGTGCATTGATTTTTGGTTTCTGCAAATGATCATTCATAGGTCATTCGCATTATTCTATTCATTTGTTAAGAGTTTCGATTGAATATTTTCCCCTAGTTTTGTTTGTTGTATTGAATTTGGTTATTATGATTAGCATTTTTTCATGAATTTGATTATTATGATTAATTAGACTAGAGCTTACTATATTTGTTTGGTTAATTAAGGTACTTTGTTGTTTTATTAACGCATTGCATATTATATGATTCGGATGGTTTTTGTTAAGTATGTCTTGAATTGATTTTTTTGTTACTGCTACTGTTTCCATCACTAGTAATTAGAAATGGGAGATGAACAACAAGAAATTGGAAAAGTGAAGGCCAAAAGTGATTATAGCGCTTGGACTTTGGAAGAGTGCAAAGTGTTGTTACAATTGCTCGTTGAAGCTACATTGCGTGGATGGCGTGATGCTAATGGCTTGCTAACCAAAGATATTGTGACGACAAGAATACTTCCGGCACTTAATGAAAGACTAAAGTGTAATAAAACTTATAAGCATTACACAAGTCGAATGAGATATTTTAAGAAAGAATATGGAAAGTATAGTCAACTTATGGGAAGCAACTTTGGCTTTGGGTGGGATGCCAACACAAAGAGATTTGTTGCTGATGATGAAGTTTGGGAAGAATACTTTTGGGTGAGCTTCTTGGCTTTTATTTAAAATATTATATGTAACTTGAATGTATACTTATAATTTATTGAACAATTGTGATTTTCTTGTTTATTTTGTAGGCCCACCCAGACCAAAGAAGCATTTGCAAAAAATCTTGTGATGACTTTGAAGATTTGCAAATCGTACTTGGAGATGCAACTGCCACTGGAAAACACTCATTGGGATTGGGTGAGGAAACTGATGCAAGAACTTTTGTAGTGGAAGATAGACAAGGTGGAACAGAGGAAGATGAACAAGTTGGATAGAGAACTTGTTTTACGATGAGGAAAATGGGGGCTTTGTACTAAATCAAAACCAAGCATCACACCAAACTTCATCATTCGATCAATCATCCCCATTCTTACCCACTCAAGCCACTAGCTCAAAGATTCCCTCAGAAATCACCAACCGTAGGAAACGAAACAGAACCCAATAGCAAGGGAATACTAGATCATTTGAGACCACTAATCAAGCTAGAATTATGGAAAATATTTCACTTACTCTCGGTTCAATTGCCACTGACTTCCGAGGAGTCCATAGTCTGTTGGAGAAAAGGGATAAGGATAGAGAGAGACAAAATTCTATATGGGATGCCATCAAGGAAACCCCAAATTTGGATGAACCTACTCGCTATCAAGCGGTCGCTTTGCTCGATACTAAAACAAAAAAAGATGCATTTATGAAGATGTCACCGGAAGAGCGGTCAAATTGGATACGCTATAATTTGAAATGATATGACTCATGATACATTAGTTTTTTTTGTTCGTTTTATTTTGGATTATGTTTAATTGGCTTATTCATACTTGTTAACTGAATTATGTTGGATTATGTTTAATGAATGATGTGTTTAGTTTAATTAATGATATTATGTGAGAATGTAGGATTTAGCTCTGTTGAATTTGGATAATGTACTATTGCTATTAGACTATGTAGGAAATTGAATGTGGGAATGTAGGATTTGGCTCTATTGAATTTTTGTTGTGGTTAACCGAAAAGGCTGCTTGGCTTCCCCCAATTGAGGAAATCTGAACTCTACTTGATCATAGTGTTCGTGGAACACTCTCCACTTTTTCTCAGGTTTCTATATCAGTGTTTTTTGTTCTTTTTCTGAAATTAATTTGTGTTTCATTGTTATTTGATTCTAGATTAGTGCGCGACCTTCTTACACTTTGTAAGTAGTAGACTCGTCAATTAGTATTTCTTGGTCTATTGTGGAGATTATGATAATGAACCACCAGATATCAATCTTATTTAAGGGTAAAATCCTAAGAGTAAAATCCTAAGAAATCTTTGAAAGAAGTCCAAATCTTAAGAAATCCATGAAAGAAATCCATACAAATCCATAGAAATCTATATTAGAAATCCATATAAATCTGACAAAATCCATATAAAATTGAGAATATTTTAAAATCCTTTGAAATCTGTCACTTAAAAAAAGTCTATTAAAATCCCGTGAAATCCAAATTGATTTTTTTGGTGGAACCAAGGTACATAGCTTCAACAGGAAGTAGCACTTGTCAGATTTCAACAGAGAAGAGCTCTCATCACCTTTTGGTTAAGGGAGCTTATTCCGATGGTGATTCAAGAAGAAACCCAACGTTCTTAAAATTGAATTTCCTTGGGAGATATGGAGAATTTGACATCTTTTTCCAGATGATTTTGGATTTTATCAGGCTATACTCGAGGGGCCTAAGTAGAAGGAATTTAAATCTCCCAATCTCACACTCCTAGGAGGTGTTTGTGAACAGGAAGAAGAAAAGGAGATTGATGATGATGACGATACAATATGCCCATCAGGCGAGTTGATTGAGGGGAAATTATCTGAACAAAGAGAGAGGTTGGAAGGGTTCAGTTTTTTTAGTGTGGAGGAACTAAGGGAGTTGAAGGAGATAACCTCGAACAACAGTTTTGTGGACAAGTCCAGATTGACAGAGGATTTTGGTTTTGATTCTTCGTGTCCGTTCGAGTTTGGTGAAGAAGAGGAGCTTGGTGATTCTACGCAAGATGAAAAAGAAATCTTTGATGTTATTGAACGCTTTGACGGCGTGCTCGAGAATCTCTTCACCGATACAACCGTGGAAATAAGATCGACACTGGATGAGGTAGTTTCTCAGTAGTATTATAAAGGAGTTTCAGACGCTGTGGAACAAGTTGAAATCAAGGATACTGAAAAGAACAAGAATTTGTTAAAAGTATAGCAGGAGGAAAAGGTTGGGATCCATATCGGTCAAATGTGAGGCAAATAGTCGAGCTACCAATTTCATGTCAAATCTGAAAGTTTCTTTGGTTCCACTGAAAAGGTCTTTATTTCATGGAAAAAATACTAGGAAAGTCAATTTTAGCAAGTATGTGGGTGGAAAGAAGGGAGATAAAAAAGTTAAGAGGGGCATTGTCAAACTTTGTGAAGATAATTAGTTGGAACGTTAGAGGTCTGGGAAGTAGGCAGAAGAAGGTATCTTTGAAAGAGCAGTTTCGTCGCTTAAAGCCCGACATCGTAATTTTACAAGAAACAAAGAAAGCATTAATAGACAGGAGGCTAGTGGCAAGTGTTTGGGGAAGTAGATTTAAAGAGTGGCCGGTTTTCGCCCCTGCACAAGGAAGATCTGGGGGTATAGTAGTGATATGGAACATAAAACAAATCTCAGTTTTTGAATCTTTGGTTGGAGTATTCTCAGATTCAAGTCCCTGTTTAGCAGCAATGAAGAGGAGTGTTGGGGTTTGGAAGGCATTAACTGGTGCTCAATAAGGTACCGTTTGGTACGTGGGATGAGACGGAACAGAGTGGGACGAGACGTTCCGTCCCACGTTTGGTACGCCTAAAACGGGTGGAACGTGTTGTTCCACGGGACGAGTTTTGGGTGAATTTTCGTTCCACCTCATCCCCTGGAATGACTCGTTCCACATTCGTGGAACACAAAATTATAACCTCTTCGTCTCCTTCTTCTTCCTCCTTGTTTTCATCCGAGGGCATCTTACTCCCTCTCCGTTCCATTCCGTCCAGTCCCATCTGCATACCAAACGATACCTAAATGAATATGAGGCAGCTTGGCTTGAGAGGCCTTTTGAGAAATAGGAAGTTCAAAGTCAGTTTTTGATTGTGGAAGGGATAAGTCGCCAGTTCCAGATGGGTTCTCTTTGCTAATGTTTCAAAATTGCTAGGATATCTTGAAAGTGGATATTTTGAAGGTGATGGAGTTCTTTGAGAAAGGGATAATAAATGTGGTGACAAATGAAACATTCATCTGTCTTATTCTGAAAAAGTCAGATTCTTTGAAAGTGACGAACTACCGGCCTATAAGCCTAGTTACTAGTTTATACAAAATTGTGGCGAAAGTGCTTGCATCAAGACTAAGGGAGGTTATTGATGAGTCAATTTCATATTATATATTTTACCCTATTCTTAGTATGTTTTGGTAATTATTTTGGTAGAATTTTGATACTTTGATTTATATTTTCAATATAGGATGTTCGACTTCCTCTAGAGCAAAACGTGGTCAAACAGACGAATTTTGGAGGGATTCAAATTGAAGGACGTTCATGTGTCTCTTGGCGTGTTCGTGTAAAAATTTGAGATTTTTCTACCAAAGCGGTTATTTTCTGGAGACGAAATAAAGTAGCAGTGTGCAGTGCTGGAAAATGAAGTTTCTGGGCTTGAATTGCGTTTTTGGAGCCCAAGATGACCTCTGATGGGTTCGTAGCCTTCTAGAAAAGTGTTCAGAATATTCCAAACCTTAGATCCAGCTATATTAGACCGGATTTGGAGCAGTTTAAGGGTCCAAAACGTGGCTGTTCAGATTTTAGGCGAATATTACTATTTAATTTAGGGATATGTTTCCTATTTTATTTTAGTATTTAGTTTCCTAGTTGGATTGGAAGACATTTTATTAGGAGGATTTAATTTCTGCTAGGTTACATAAGCTTTCCCGCTTTATTCTGGTAACTTCTTCGTGCGTTCTTGAAGAGAGGAAATTGGCCAAGCGTAGAGATTTTTAGACTTTTTCCATTCTAGGTGTTTTCGATCTTTTATTTTTTCAATAAAGAACTTTATGATTTTTATTATGAATATGCGTAACGAATTCTCTTTTCGCTAGGGTGAGGTCACAAGCATTAGTAAGAATATGTAGTTTCTCTTCAATTTGCTTATGATTATATGCATGTCGGTTTTCGAATTATTAATAACTGATTTAAACAATCTAATTATCTTGACGCTTGATCACCATTATGACGTTTAGAAAAGTAATTTGATGCAATTTTGGTCAGAGGTTGGTCCCTGAAATTGACGAAGGCTTCTTGTGATTAATATGTGCAAGTTCACTTAGGATGAATACCACGTCTTGAGGGTTGCATGGTTTTTCAAAAGGTTTCATAGAATTTAATGAGTCATGCATGTTTAGATTTTATTTGAATCCCACAAACAGATTGCATGTTTGATATACGCTCTATGTTGGGGGTCCAAGTAGGCGTATATTAGGAAAACCTAACCTTCGAAATATGCATGTATAAGTCATAAGTAATTAAGAGAACTAAATAGGATTGTTAAGGTGACAGTGGATCCCTAGTGTTTTCTTAATTTGATTTCTACCAAATTGTTTCCTTTTTCTTCATCTTTAATATTGCAGATTAGTTTATTTTTATTAGTTAAATTCGTTTTATTAAATTAGGTCATAAAAATCAATCATCTCAAATTTCTGTTTTACAATAATCAATTGGAATTTGGTTTGCTTAGAATGATTTAATAATTCCTGTGGAGAACGACCTTATGAGATCCGTTTATACTACAATAACCTTGTTATTCCTGCAAGTATTATATGAGTTTTTAACCCTTTTGCATGTGTGGTAAAATCTCTATCAGTTATGGGTAGCACAATCTTTCTATATCAAGGAGCTTTTGTTAAAGGTAGACAAATTTTGGATGTGGTCCTCATTGCAAATGAGGTTGTAGAAGAGGTAAGGCAGAAGAAAAAGGAGGGATTGGTGTTCAAGATTAATTTTGAAAAGGCTTATGATCATGTGGAGTGGAGATTTTTGGATGAAGTCTTACAAAGAAAAGGTTTTGGCAATTAATGGAGGAAATGGATGCAGGGTTGTCTAAGTTCCGCAAATTTCTCAGTTTTGATCAATGGGAGGCCTAGAGGAAAATTTAAAGCTTCAAGAGGTTTGAGACAAGGTGATCCATTGTCACCTTTTCTTTTCACCTTTTTAGTTGATGTCTTGAGTACATTATTGGAGAAGGCACAAAAGAATCATCTGATCAAAGGTTTGTGCATTGGGCAAGAAAAGGTGGAGATTTCGCATCTTCAATTTGCTAATGACACCATTTTTTTCTTGGCAGGGGCTGAGGAAGTTTGGAACAATTTTTAGAGTTGCTCAACTTATTTTGTACTATTTCAGGTTTGAAAATTAACAAAGCAAAGTGCTCTTTGGCTGGAATAAACTCAGATTGTGAGAAAATTAAAAGGATGGCAGATTCTTGGGGTTGTGAGGTGGGTAGTTGGCGAATAAAGTATTTGGGTCTCCCTCTTGGGGGAAGGCCAAGAGCACTTACGTTTTGGGATCCAGTTGTAGAAAAGATCGAACAAAGACTTCAAAGTTGGAAGAAGGCTTTCTTATCTAGAGGTAGTAGATTAAGTTTGATTCAATCTGTTTTGGGAAGCTTGCCAATTTATTACATGTCTTTGTTCAAAATTCCTTGCGGGGTGATTGGATGGCTGGAAAAACTATTGAAAGGGTTTTTTTGGGAAGGGGTAGAGGAAGGAAAGAAAAACCATTTGCTGAAATGGGAGGTAGTTATTAAAAGTAAGGAGGAAGGGGGTTTAGGTGTGGGGAATTTGAGGAAACGGAATGAAGCGTTACTGGCTAAGTGGTTGTGGAGATTCCCAAAGGAATCAAATGCTCTTTGGCACAAGGTGATAAGAAGTACGGGTTGCAGGAAAATGGGTGGGATGCAAATCCTTCGTTGTGTGTTTCAAGTCGTAGCCCTTGGAAAGATATTTCGTCTGGTCTTCAATTGTTCCTAGAGTGCTGTAAGTTTGAGGTGGGCAACGGGGATAGGGTGAGGTTTTGGGGGGATGATTGGTTGGAAGGTGGATCATTGAAAGAGCAATATCCTAGATTATTCTTGTTATCGAGAATGCACAACCAGAGCATTTCAAGTTTTGTGGATTTTTCTCTTCATTCTTTGAGCTGGACTTTTGATTTCAGAAGAAATTTGAATGAGTTGGAGATAGAAGAGGCGGCTAGGTTATTACAGAAGGTGGAAAATCTTTGTTTGATTCGATCAAGAGCGGATAATAGAAGGTGGAAACTAGACTTATTAGGATTGTTCACTTGCAAATCCTATAGCTCTTTCTTGAGCAACAATGCAACTGTGCAACATTTTCCACCATTTTCTCATATTTGGAAATCAAAAGCTCCTCCGAAGGTCAAAGTTCTTGTGTGGTTAATGGCTACTGGGAAGGTCAACACTTGTGATCAAGTTCAAAGGCGAAGGCCTTTTATTTGTATTTCTCCCCATTGGTGCAGTTTGTGTAAATTTGAGGAGGATAATGTTAATCGTATTTTTCTCCATTGCTCTTACTCAATACAGTTGTGGTGGAAATTGGTTCAGGAAGTTAGAGTTAGTTGGGTCATTCCGAAGGGTTGTTTCGAGATTCTAAGCACCAATTTTGAGGCTTTAGGAAAGGGGAGGAAAGCTAAAGCTTTGTGGGGTTGTTTGGTGTTGGCAGTTTTTTGGAACATTTGGTTGGAGTACCGTTTGGTACTCAGATGGGAGGGAACAGGACGAGACAGGACGGGACCGAACAGATGATGTAAATATTGAAAAAGATAAGGAGAAATTTTGTCATAAAATGTTATAAATTTGTGTTCCACGGATGTGGAACGGGTCGTTCCAGGGGGAAGAGGTGGAACGAAAAATCAACCAAATTTTGTCCCATGGGACAACCCGTTCCATAGTTTTTAGGCACACCAAACGTGGGACGGAACGGCTCGTCCCGTTCCGTTCCGTCCCGTCCCACGTACCAAACGGTACCTAAAAGAAGAGTTTTTGAGGATTATAATGGAGTGGGGGTAGCAAAACTATGGGGTAGAGTAAGATACTGAGCAGCCCTGTGGGCATCAGCTTCGAATGAGTTAAAGGATTATTCTCTTTCTCATATAGTGTGGGATATGTTAGTAGCCGTAAAATGATTATGGTTGAGGTTATGTTACTTGTAATCAGATTTGTTTGAGAGGTCTTAGCTAGCTTTGCTACATGGGTGGATTTCTTATCCACTATTTTATAATTCTTGGGTTTTTTTTTTTTTTTTTTTGAAGTGTTATCGTTTATTCTCAAAAAAAAAAAAAAAGAAAAAAAAAAGTAGTATAAATTACCTTGCTTTAGCATCACTGTAAACAGGTTCATAGGGAACAGACGTCTTATCCTGCAATTCAACATAAAACATTATATAGCTTGTGCTAGACAACACAAATGTATGTAACAGTCAAAATGAACAATTTTGTGACAGCCACCCACAAAAAAACGTAACTGTAACAAGAAAATGTAGTGCTCCCAAGCCCATTTAAAGGAGGAGTGGAAAGAGAGGGAGAGAGGTTGCCATCGCAGCGTTTGCAGATTTGTAGCACTAACCTCAAGGTACTTAAATGTAGTGCTATCAGCAGGAACAACACCATTTTGACCCTCAGCCTCAACAACCATGTTGCATAATGTCATCCTTTCTTCCATCTGTCCAGCACAGGTTTGTGAAAGAGTAATTAACAGATAAAACCAGATGAATGGTATGATCATACATGCGGTAACAACCATTATATTCACTCACAGATAAGCTTTCAACAGTGCTGCCAACAAACTCCATAGCGTTATATGTTCCACCAGAAACAGATATTTCAACAATAATCTGCCATATGAAATTCATTTATCAAGGAAACAACAAGGCTGGATGTGTTACATATCAAGCAAATAAAATCATATGTCTCACTCTTAGAATTTTAACTTCTTCTTAAGCTATGCAGACTGAATGAAAAATAAAAAAAAAATGCCTTGAGACCTGGTTAAACTTACTTGCAGAATCAAATCTTTGGCAAGCAAATAGTCGGGTATTTCACCATCCATCACAAATCTCAATGTTGGAGGCACCTGCAAATTTAGAAGGAAATCAGAAAAGTATGAAAATACAATAAAATTCACAGAAATTACTGCAAACAACAATAACATTAAAGTATGAGATATATGTAATACAGCAGAAATTGTGAATCTACAGATACAACTACCTCAATCACTCATAGTCATAGCTCATACAGGAAAGAGAAACACATTTAACTTATCAAAAGCATAATTCCCCCTTTTCGGTTCTCTATATGGTTTACTTTCTGTTTTCTAAATTTTTAACAATGTCCATATTCCTTGGTGTATGCTTTTCGCAGACGATATAGTGTTGATAGATGAAACTCAGGAAGGGGTAAATGCGAAGCTTAACCTTTGGAGAGAAGTGTTGGAATCTAAAGGTCTTTGCCTAAGCCGATCAAAGACAGAATATATGGAGTGCAAGTTCAGTGCAAATGGAGGCCAAAATAAATTAGGGGTGAGGATCGGAGATCAGGAAATACCAAAGAGCGATCGTTTTCGCTACTTAGGATCTATCTTGCAAAAGAACGGAGAATTAGATGGAGATCTCAACCATAGAATACAAGCTGGATGGATGAAGTGGAAGAGTACATCCAGCGTGTTGTGTGACCGCCGTATGCCACTGAAGCTCAAGGGAAATTTTTATAGGACTGCAATAAGGCCGGCGATGCTGTATGGCACAGAATGTTGGGCGGTGAAGCATCAACACGTACACAAAATGGGTGTAGCGGAGATGAGGATGCTTCGTTGGATGTGTGGGCACACGAGAAATGATAAGATTAGGAATGAGGATATCTGAGGTAAAGTAGGAGTAGCTGAAATTGTAGGAAAATTGAGAGAAAATCGGTTACGGTGGTTTGGACATGTGCAAAGAAGGCCTACTGACGCTTCGGTTAGAAGATGCGACTACGAGACAGAGGTTCAGGGCCGAAGGGGTAGAGGAAGACCTAGGAAAACTTTGGAAGAGACTCTAAGAAAAGACTTAGAGTATTTGGATCTAACGGAGGACATGACACAGGACCGAGCACAATGGCGTTCTAAGATTCATATAGCTGACCCCACTCAGTGAAGAAGGCTTTGGGGTATTTAACACAATACGTTGAAATGAAGCAAAGCTTATTTATTGATATCTCCGATAAGTTACAAATATGTACATATACATGAGTCAAAATAAACAAACAAGAGGGAGCCTTCACAAAGGTTGCTTAGGAGAAGTCTCAGCAGTCGGTAGAGCCTCAGAAAGAGAAGACACCGGAGGGGGATCATTCGGAGCCTTAGTACTGGACAAAACCCTAGAAGGAGGAGGCATCGGAGGTTGATCATTTTGAGCTTCATTACGCGGTACAGCCCCAGAAGACGAAGACAATAAATGCCTTTGGAACAAACCCACAAACCGCTGATGATCAAGTAAAACCTGACCATTAGATTCCTTCATCTGGTCAAGCTTCCTCTTCATGTTTGTAGCATAGTCATGTGCGAGCCGGTGTAATTGTTTATTCTCATGCTTGAGCCCTCTAATCTCTTGTTTGAGACTCATCACTTCAGCCGCCAATGATTCAACTTGGCGGGTTCGAGCAAATAGGCGTTGGGCCATATTAGACATAGAACCTGCACACTTAACACTTAGAGCTAGAGAATCCTTAACAGCCAACTCATCAGACCGTTTGGAAAGTAGTCTGTTATCTTTGGGAGTGAGAAGGTTCTTGGCCACTATTGCAGCAGTCATATCATTCTTCATCATGGAATCCCCAACTATAAGAGGACCAGTAGGGGATAAGAAGGATGGGCGCCATATGTTGTCTGGAGAAGACGTGGCTGCCTCTTGAACAAGGTTCAAGTCAAAACGATGGTCGGAGGGGCCAGACATTTTCAAAGGTGTTGAAAAGAGAAGAGGTCGGATAAATCAAGATCTTAGAAGTGCAAGAAGGGAGCTTCTATTGGTGAAGATTCAAGTGTGCTTTGGAACTTAATGCCAGCCTCTATAAAAATCTGCACTCGACAGAGCTTCAGAAATCGAAGAGGCGTCTGCCCAGAAATCGAAGAGGCGTTTGCTTTCTCAAAAGCTGGGCTGCTCAGAGACCACAAGGGTCGATCTCAGAAATCAAAGAGGCGTTTGCTTTCTCAAAAACTGGGCTGCTCAAAGACCACGAAGGCCGATCTCAGAAATCGAAGAGGTGCTTGCTTTCTCAAAAGCTAGGCTGCTCAGAGACCACGAGGGCCGATCTCAGAAATCGAAGATGCACTTGCTTTTTTCAGCCTTGTCAGCACCTGTCACATGTACACTCAGCTTTGCTGAAATTACGGGCATTCTGTTGAAGATTTCTGGTGAAGTAGAAAACACGTGAATCTTACTATTCAATCATCCACTTTCCACACGCACCATCAGCTCATGGGTACCACATATAACTTTGCCAAAGATCTCTGACAAAGTTTAGACACGTGAAGCTTGCAGCTCTCACTACATCGCTATGACCAAGAAGGGTAAAAGAATAGCAAAGAAACAGCACTAACAAAGTTTAGACACATAACTTTTAAAGGTCTAGCTACCATATTATTACCCACAAGGGTAAAGGAACAGCACCACTGCTGGATAATTGGAAAGTCCCTGTGTGTCAACCTCTGTGCTCCGTGGCAAGGTAGACTAGCAAACATGCCCAACCTTTACTCATATTCGAGAAAACACTCCCAACAAGATTGCTTGCTCCAAAATCCAAGAGGCACCGTCCTCCGAATCTCGAGAGTCAGATTCCCAACATGATTAGTCTCTCAAAAATCGAAGAGACACCGCTATCCGAATCTCGAGAGCCAGACTCCCAGCAGGATTGCTCTCTCAAAAATCGAAGAGGCACCGTTCTCCGAATCTTGAGAGCCAGATCCTCGACAGAATTGCTTGTTCGAAAACCGAAGAGGCACCGCGTTCTCAACTTCGAGAGCCAGATCTCCTTGGATAAAGCTTGTTTGTAATCTTCACACGCAACATCAGCTTTCCAGATACCACAGACCACTTTTTCAAAATGCTCTGACACACGTGAAGCTGGCAGCTACCACTATCGTGCTATGACCAAGCAGGGTAAAGGAATAGCATTACTACTTGTTGTTAGGGAAACTCCTATGTATGTCGACCTCTATCCTCAATGGACAGGCAGACCTGCAAAAATGCTCAACCCTTCCTCATATCTGAGAGGGCACTCCCAACGAAGCCTCTCGAAATACTCTGCTTTCTTTTCCATCGATAATACCTCTGCAAACAAGCTACACTAGAGCAATAATATCTCATATCATCAAGGTTAAAAGCAAGAGTATCCCATATCATGCTTTTTCCCTGTCTTTTCCTTGGGCCTTGTTCTTACCTGCAAGACAAGGAGAAAGAGAGCAATCGGTCAGCACTTGGAATCAAGCTTCCAGTCAGGACCTGACTGCCTGGAACCCCTTACCTGATTACTTACCTGGCATTGCTCTCGAGTACTCATCTTCAACATCTTATGCTTCCAGAGAAGATACCACATCTGCCTGAGGAACAGATAGGGAAAGTGAGAAGGATACAAGGAAGCATGTGGAGACAAGCGTAATAGAACACGTGCCGATACATCCACTACTTTGTCAACAACAAAAGTATCCCATATCAGCAGGGTCGAACGTACTCTAGATTTGATGGACTTGTTTTGATCCTCAAATTCTTCAGTCGACCTTATACTCTGGAGGAAACCAGAAAATCCTCCAACCCAGTTCAAGAATAAGCTTGTGGAAAGTTACTTCTTCAAAAGCAAAAGTATCTCATATCATCTATTCTCCTTTTCTTCTCTTTATCCTTCATGCTGCCTGCAAGATAGGGAGAATGAGAACAATCAGCCAGAACTCGAAATCAAACTTCTGATTTGGGACTGATTGCTTGGAGCTCTGATTGCTTACTTTGTCTGTCACCTCTTTCAGCAGATCCCCTAGCTCGGCGACTTGGGGGACTTTTACTACATGGTTTGTATCGCACTTGACCAAGCCTGAAACTACAAGTAAGCTTCAAGTGAAATTGATACATTACCTTGTGCATCTCCACCAGTTAAAGATACCACCCCTGGATGGAGGAAGAATACTTCCAGAGAAGATGCCACATCTACCTATGAGACAGATAAGGCAAGTGAAGACGAGAGCTTGAACCTATGTCATTTGTACTAAATCATTCACTTGTACTCACTAAAGGAGAGCTTGAACCTATGTACTTGTGTAAACCCTTCACAATTAATGAGAACTCCTCTACTCCGTGGACGTAGCCAATCTGGGTGAACCACGTACATCTTGTGTTTGCTTTCCTATCTCTATCCATTTACATACTTATCCACACTAATGATCAGAGCAATCTAGCGAAGATCACAAACCTAATCTTTTCTGTTGTACCAAAGTCCTCACTGATTGTGTGCATCAACAATCCTTAAGTCCTTACCTTTTTGCGTTGGTAATGGATGAGTTAACAGGACATATTCAAGATGATATTCCTTGGTGTATGCTTTTTGCAAACGATATAGTGTTGATAGATGAAACTCAGGAGGGGTAAATGCGAAGCTTAACCTTTGGAGAGTAGTGTTGGAATCTAAAGGTCTTCGCCTAAG